AGATATAGATATAGATATAGATATAGATATAGATATAGATATAGATATAGATAGATGGATAGAGTGAGGGGGAGGGAGGGAGGGAGAGTGGGGAATTGTTTCTCTGTACTTACGCTGTGGTTTCTGTCCTACAGTAGATGAGGCACCCAGAAACTACTTCCCTCCCAGTGCAAGTGTTATTTTATATCAGTCATGGATTGGGCAACATTAAGGGTTGTGCAAACTGATTACTCAAGGTGATACCCCCTGGCTTCTACTCTTTCTCCCCCCTGTTTATTTAAGAACAGCCTGGATTTTCTGACTGAAAGGTTAGAAAAATTGGAAATTCTCCAGTGCAAAAGGGAGGCAAAGTATGAGGAAACGTTGGAGAATACATTGTGTGTATATGTCCGTGTGTGAATGAATGTCCCATAGAAGATTTTGCAATAAAACATAGAACCTTGATGTTTCCTAACCTTGTGGAAAGATCTCTTCAGGATTACACTAAACAAATCCAGAATTTTGCAATCCACCATAATTTCATCTTAGACAGAAAGAGACACTTTGAAACAGGGCATTGTATAAACCAGGGGTCCCCATCCTTTTCAATCTTTACAGGTATTGTCCACATTTTTCTTTCTCTAATCTATTCTCAACCTGTAAGAGGTTTCCTTATTCTTATGCCATTTTGCATGTTTTCTGTGTGAGACCCATAAATGTATATTTCTGGCTTGGAAAATGCCTTTGAAAGCTCTCAAAAATGTGAGAGCATAACTGCAGACCAAGGGTTATATTTATTTTAAAGGGGCATGTTTATTCTTGCCTAAATCCAAATAGAATCTAATTTTACTTTCTCCCTGACTTTGGTTTGCCTCTTACCATTTCTGACTGAGAGTGCTCTATCCTTTCAAGCAAAATATGTCTGACAAATGAAGGCAAATATACATGTCGCAGGATAACGTTGCAGGATCGTTCGTCTTTCGGACTCGTGCTAGACCCCTTCCTCAGGGGAACTTCTTTCTAGAAAAGTGTGTGCCATTCTGTGTGTGGTATTTATATGGCACCTGTTGTAAGTGGCTTTTTAGATTTGTTGTGACCCACCGGCAGCCAGCACAGCTGGCAGCAGAGTCAGACAGTGAGGAAGTTGGGGAGGAACATGGGCCAGTCCCGAGAGCTGAGGAAAGCTTAGATGAGGGCTCTGCGTCAGAGGCAGAGAAGGAGCTAGACAGCTGTGAGGCAGAGGAACAGTGGAGCCTGTTCCCAGTGTGCGCATATGCAGAGCTGCCAGAAGACAACAACTAAGGAAGCAGGGTTGACTTGTGAGTAAAGCTACACCTTGGAGGTGATTGGCCCCTCCCATGGGAAACAAAAGAGGAGCGAATGGGGAGTGGGCTTTTGCAGGAAACAATTCCTTTGGTCATTTCAAGAGTGGAAAATTCTGTTTGTGACTAGGAGAAACTCTGTGGCAAGTGTTGCCTTGCCTGTGTTTGGAAATGAGTTAGCTGGCAACTCTCCAAGCAAGATAAGGTTCATGTTGATAAATATTCTTCTGAAAGACTGTTTGGCAAGCATTGCTGACTGTGAATGAAAGGAATTCACAGTCATGTAAATAAAAGAGGTTTTACCAGGACCAAGACTTTGCTTCATGCTTTTTAAGGAAGCCTAGGTCAGAACAAGATGTTGATTGGAGTGTGTTGATGGTTGGCTTTTAAGTCATTAACTGTCATTCGCCCAGCCCTCACCTTCTAAGTACTTGATAGGCTGGTGGTAAATCCGCACTCCTATTGACTGACAAGAGGCCCATTTCCCAGGCTTAAATCACTTCCCTGGCTGTTTTTGTGCTTGCTCGTCCAACAGTCAATTTCACAGCTACTAAGATTGTTGGACGAGCAGGCACAAAAACACCCAGGGAAGTGATTGATGCCTACAAAATATGTCTGGCCATTGCCATTTATGCCCATAGAGAAAGGACAACTTAGTGACAAATCTAATGATTGAGATAAACACATTAAAAGATATGACCTACATGTTAGGCAATCTCCAAATACATCAGAGGACCGATTACAGTGTTGTGTTAAAAACAACAACATCCAGATAGCAATGAGATTGAATTCTCAACACCATCCTTTTTTTTATAGCCATTATCTTGATTTTTGGGGAGCATCCTTTCCTTCGAAACCCTCCTGGCCAAATTCTTATAACGTTGGGGTCCTCTCTGGGTTTTTGTTGTTGTTTGCTTGCATTTCGTTAGACTCCCTTTTAGCACTGATGATGTTATCTCATTGGGTGATGAAATGTCTGATGGAAACCACTTAGCTCAGAGAGCACCAAGAACCCCACAATTCAACTCTTTCTGAATTGACACTTTGGGTATGCTCAAAAATTAATCTTATCTTCTCAAGGATAATCTTATCTTCCCAAGGATTTAAAACAGGGGGATCTTTACCTCATCCAACAAACATAGAATGCCTTTTACCAACAGAAAACTGATGCTGTTATTAGAAAAGAGGTTTTTCTAATAAAATTACCTTCTATAATTGCCCACAACTTTTTTAAAATGTCTTTTTGTGATCCACAATATTACTGTTTGCTAGCTCAGCTTCTCTTTTCTAAGCATCAGTTTTCTGTCAGTAAAAGGCATTTTATGTTGTTGGGCGAGGTAAAGATCCCTCTTTTATAAATCCTTAGGAACATAACCTTAACTTTTGAACATATCCCAAAGTGCCAGTTCAAAAGGGATGAAAACAAGATAAACTATCCCAGGACATCTAATTTTCAGGGGGGGGGGGGACCTGAAGCTTTGAATTTTAAAGCTATACAAATCTCAGGATAATTTGTTGATTATTGTTGTTGTTAGTTGCAAAGTGATTTCAGACCCATCGCAACCGCATGGACAACGTTCCTCCAGCCCTTTCTGTCCTCTACAATCCTCTGGAGTCCATTTAAGCTCACACCTACTGCTTCAGTGACTCCATCCAGCCACCTCATTCTCTCTCGTCCTCTTCTTCTTTTGCCCTCCATCATTCCCAGCATGAGGCTCTTCTCCAGGGAGTCCTTCCTTCTCATTAGGTGGCCAAAGTATTTGAGTTTCCTTTTCAGGATCTGGCCTTCTAAAGAGCAGTCAGGGTTNAATTCTTGTCCTGCCTTCAAGTGCTTTGGATAGTAAGTTGACCCCCCCCCCCAATCTTCTTTGTGGCAGCTCCTCAAATATTGGAAGACTGTTATCATGTTACTCATAATCCTTCTTTTCACTAGACTAGACAGACCAATTCAATTCCTGCAACTGCTCCTCATATGTTTATGAAGCAATGGAGCTCCATGATTATGAGGCTACAAATATCTCATTGGTGCAAATTTTACATCCAGTTCAGCTGAATTGATTTCCCTTCATGGAGCAAAACAAATCCAAAGTGCCTAATTATTCTACTCAATAATTATTTGGACACAAGGAGAAGCTGGGAGAGACTTCTTTAACTTTTAGCTGTGCAAATATGTTGATTTCTCATTCTGAGTAAAAGTTGGGTTTGGACATACAGATCAACAGAAGGGACGTGGTGGCTCAGTAGTTAAGATGCTGAGCTTGTTGATCAGCAAGGTCAGCAGTTCAGCTGTTCGAATCCCTAGTGCCGCGTAACGGAGTGAGCTCCTGTTATTTGTCCCAGGTTCTCCCAACCTAACAATTCGAAAGCATATAAAAATGCAAGTAGAAAAATAGGAATCACCTTTGGTGGGAAGGGAACTGCTGTGCGCCTTCGGCATTGAGTCATGCTGGCACATGACCATGGAGACGTCTTGGGACAGCGCTGGCTCTTTGGATTAGAAATGGAGATGAGCACCATTCCTAGAGCCAGAAATGACTAGAACCTATGTGTGGGGCAATCTTTACCTTTACCTTATACAGATAAACATAACTCCTTGAAGTTAACAAACATCTCTCCCCCCACTCTATTCTAAGCCATTGTACTTTTTTGGGACATTATCTAGAGTCCAGCTCATTTTGAATCTTAACCGAAGCTTCATTTACAAACCCTTTTCACACCTGAACTTGCAAAGATTTAATGAGCGACCGAGGATGTTTGGTTTGCAGGTGCACCTACTTTGTTTCCCAGAGTAACTCCCATCCATGCCCATTCAAGTTACTAAATAAGTATAAATATATTTATAATGAGTATAAAAATACTGGGTTTTTCTAGTAGTCCTGAAGAGCTGCAAAAGTTGGACCATGAGGAAGGCTAAGCACTGAAGAACTTGATGCTTTCCAATCGTGGGATTGGAGAAGACTCTTGAGAGTCCCTTGGACTGCAATCAGCCAATCCTGAAGGAAATCAATTGTGACTCTTCTTTGAAAGGACAGATACTTTGGCCACCAAATGAGAAGAGTCCTGGAAAGACCTTGATGTTGGGGAAGGTGGAAGGGGATGAGGGAAGGCAAAAGGAGAAGGGGATGAGGGAAGGCAAAAGAAGAAGGGGATGAGGGAGGGTTAGATGGTGTCATTGATGCAATGAACATGAATTTTGGAAACTCTGGGAGACAATGGAAGATTGCATGCTATAGACAATGGGGTCATGAAGAGATGGACACAACTTAACAACTGAACAACAAAAACCCATTCAAGTGCATAAGCATAAGCAGAATGGAAAGCAACCCAAAATTCAGGTTGAGTATTGACTTATCAGTCATTATTACAACCAATTAAAGAGGATGAACCTTTTATGAAGCTGCTGGTTCCTTCCTTACCATTCCATGTTTAGGGAAAGGATATCTGAAGCAGGAAATATCCCCACATCCCTCCAAGTGGGAACGGAGAAGGGGAACTGGAGATGGTGAACAAAGAAAGAATTAATCTTCCAGTTCACAGAAGAGCAATTGTGTGAGGCTTAATACCTAATATGCTTTTGAGTCATACTTACACAAGCAAGCATCAAGGATAATCCAGAGCAGAATGTCTGTCTGTGTGTGTGTGTTATGAAGTTGAATATGCTGACTTTCATCTCAAGGTTGCCAATGACTAATAAACAAAACACAAAGTAAAAGCATTTGAATCTAAATGTTCCAGCAATGCTTTAATGGGGGCTAAAACATATGACAAATAGTTACAGATATTGGTATGTTTAGTCTAATGAAAAGAACTGGGGTGACATGATGGCAATCTTCCAATATTTGAGGGGCTGCCACAGAGAA